GCTAGGAACATGCAGTGTATCTGTGATTCATCTTGACAGCACTAAGAGCTCAGACTGACTTTTAGCACAGGGACTGAGGAATTAGTGCTTCTCCATTTGATTCCCACTTGCTCTGTGTTATTACCTTCTCTATGCCTTGCTATCCCTAGCTGACAAAATGGGGACAGCATTTTTGCTGCCCGTAAATGTATTATGTGAACGGGAGCTGGTGAAGTGCTTTGGGATTGCAGGTGTGAGAATGGCACTTCTGGTGAGGCCAGGAGCCTGCCCAGCCCCTGCTCGCACAGTGGCACCGGGAGGTGCCATTGAGGCACATGACACAGTCCAGGCCACTTTTCGCTGCCCATCCCAGAGGAGCAGGAGGTATGATGCTAACTTGGGTGGACTTCACCTCCTCCAGTGCTCGCTATCCCAAGTGTCTAGCCTGAACAAGGTGCAAGCTACTTCTGCCCTCAGTGAGGGAATGGAATGCTCCTAGAAAGTGGGTCACTTGCTTTTCCTAACTACCCTTACATGGCCAGTCCTCTAAGCTACAGAAAAAATCGCTTTTCCCCTCCCCTGCCCTATTCGTGCAGCTGTGTCATGACCCAGACCAGGAATTTGACAGGAGTCATGAACAAGCCAACCCTGTTCCTGCTCCCTTTCCTTTTTCTAGTCCCCAGGATTTTAGGGTGGTTCTCTCCTCCCTTGCTGAGACCCCACAGAGCACTTGGAGATGGAGCAGCGCTGCAGCAGGGAGCCAGGAGCTGCTCCAGGCTTGGCAAGGGCGTCACAGGACTCGTCTGTACTCCCACAGCCTCCGAGCAGACACAGAGCTCCTAAGTAGCGAACACTGGGTGTGATGATTTTCTCTCTATTCGCTTTCCACTCTGCACGTACGTGTGTGGGCTGTGCTGCCAAGGTATTAATGATTCCTGAAGCAGAACATGTGAGAAGAGGCAGCTGTAGTGCACGGTGAGTCAGTGTGAGTACGCTACAACCTTGGCTTTAGTTAGGGATGCTTTTGTTTTCGGCTGTATAGGCTCTCGGAGAATATCCTGGAAATAGTGGGATTGTCACCAGAGTTTTGTTCATCTCTGCATTTTGGTGTGTACGCCTCTGATTTGGCATTGCATCATCAAAGTGTCAAGATGAACGCAGAAAAAAAAGAGAGGCAGTCAGTGCATTTAGCATGAACGTGTCACATATTGTCAGGTGCAGAAATTTCTACCTATATGCTGCCTGAAAAAGATTTCAAAAGTAATAGTAAAACTTGAAGGGAAATGCTTTGGAACATTGTATTTAATTTATATGACTATTTGAAAAAAATACACTATGGATAATGCTTTGAATCATCTAAAATCTGACAAATGGACTTAATTCAAAATATGTGCTAAAAACTTCACGTTCTTTTGGGCCAAAGCATATGTTCTGGGCAGCAACTCTGTATCAAAGCTTTGCAACTGAGATTTAAATACCTTTTCAAAAGGAATCCTGTACCATAAATGCTATCAGATGCTTAATTAAGACAGCACAAGCAAGGAGCATGTTTGCAATAAATTATGGGGATGTGTTCTGACATGCTTTATCTATGTAAAGATTTCTATTTTTATGTGAAGCTATTTACAGATTATTGATTTCAAAAATAGATTTGTAACTAAAGGAAGATGCATCATATTTCAGTTGCTTGGAGTTGAGAATCCTGCTCGGCTGTCTGCCTGCTCTCTTAGATGTTTATTCCAGTGGCTTACAAGTGTGTGGAGTGATTCTGTCCTTCTTTATGTTCTCCCTCTATTTGGAAGAGGGAATTTATATTCAGGGACCAGGTCCCAGGTTTCTTACCCATGCAAGTGGGCTGATTTTTATAATTTTTATCACATTTTTTGAAGCACAGAATAATTTCAATGAAGTCTGTGAGGCTTTTTGCATGAGTAAGACTTTCGGGTAGTGGAGTTTACTCGCAGTATATTTTGTCAGTTGATGCTGTTTTGTTTCAGGGCAGCAAGCTGTTGTCACAGTGTCAGTGGAGCCTGCTAAACTGTAAGCCTGCCTTTAAGTATGTATAATAGAAACCTTCAGCATAATTTTTTGCTACTTAATGCTGAAGAAATTAGAATTAGAAGAAATACTTTAATAAATCAGGGCAAAGCCTGAAGGTAGAGGTAATATTTTTCATTAGAGCAACCTTTAGAATTTGAAAACTCATGCAAGCTTGTGTACCTAAGAGCTTGTCAATTTTTTCCAGCCGTACCATTTGCTCTAATGAAAGATACTGCCTCTGTCTACAAACCTTGTCCTGCTGCGAACTCTGTTGATTGCACCTACAGCAAAATATAGCTGGATTATTAAAATAATTCAGGCCTTCTTTGCTTAATTATGGAAACTCAGATTTTTGTGCTTTCCTCAAGTCTCAGCTTTTTGAATCCCAACACACACAAAATGATGCTGTCTGGTTTCTTGTACTGTAGAGGAGGGTTTCATCACATAGAAGCTTAAACTGCATCACTGATTCCTTATTTTAGAATGGATATTATAAAGGTGGCCTGCTAAAAGTCTTCTGCCATCTGGATTTTAGGGTATTTTGTAGGATACTGTCAGTGTATGCTGTCAGCTGTCTGGTGTGGATGGCCTCTGGAAGCAGTCCTAGCTTAGTACCTGTGTCAGCATCTGATGTGGTGTTGTGGTGATGGGAAGCAGAAGAAATGGGAAGAAGCTGGCAGAACACAATGTCTCTGGTGTGGTCTGTGGGTGTAAATGGAATCTTGCTATGTGTCTGGCTGGGTAAGTAGAGTCGTGTACCCCTTCTAAACAGCAGGAAGCTTGGATTTCGACTTGTTTGGAAGACCTAGACCCAAAGCTATCTGAGAGTCCTAAGGCCAGCCATGCAAGAGTTTTTTCAGAGCTGTTTAGTGTGCCTTTTAGAGGTTTTCAATGAGTATGTCTCTCAGATCAGCCCTAGGCTAGTAGCTTTAAAATAGGCCAAGGTGGTGATGATCTGGACCACCTTGGAATGTCCATGGGGTCGATGCTTTTCTCTAGACCCTCAGAGAGCACAAGCCCTTTCTGTAGTTTGCAGTCTTGGGGTCTTACCCAGATCACTTCCTCTGCTGCATGTCTTGGCTGAGCCTGTGACCCTCGCAGGGACACTGCTCTTCTCCTGAGCAGCCCTTGCTGTCCCTGAGGAGCCTTGCTGCAGGCAGTGCCCTGCCTTCCAAGTGAAATGAGAACAGGTCGGTGCTTGAGGGGCGTTGAGTTCTGTGTCCTGTGCTGCCTTCTGTCTGCCTTTGGGCGCAGCTTAAATAGATAGCTGGTAATTACTTGTAAAGCCCTTGGTGGCTGTGGCTGGGGCTATTTTGGAAGCTGATTCTCCCTGCATGCCCTGTTGTGGAAGTTGTGGCTGGCTGGAATGGTCCGTCACCCTCTCGCGGTGGTGACCTCCTCTCCTGGGTGTGTTGCAGGGAATTCAGGGGGAGAGCTCTCAGCAATGGCATGTGGACTCTTGGGCTGCCTGCCAGGGCCTGAATTTGGTGACCTTTAGGATGTGGCAGAAGATGCATTTGTAAACCTTGGTTATAGTAACTGGGAGACAAGCAGAGAATGCTGGAGGAGGAGGAATGCTTTTTTACAGACAAACTGCTCTCTGTTTGATGTTTATGACCAGCAGCTAGTAGGTAAATATACTAGGAAATGCTGTGACAATTGAAACCGTTGCTCTTTAATAGAATTTAAAATGAAAAAATTATGCAGATTTCCTTGAGGAGCATGCGTGTGACACCGAGAGCGCTGTGACTTCTAGAGCTGGTTTGAACACTTGCTCTGCTCTCTACTTTGCTGGAATCATTAAATTCCCTTTTGTAAAATGAATGCAGTCATATTTTAGAGGTGTCCAGATGTATTTGATGTATCATTTCTCATGTAGTTTGTGAGTGATTTTGTTTCCTTTAAGAAGAACCAGCAAGCCAAGGCCTGCAGTCCAGCAGTTGTTTGGGTTACACAAGAATGTGGTTTCATGTAATACCTAATTTGGTACCACTGTGGGTTGTGTCTCCCACCCTGTTCTCCACACCAGCTCTAATGACAGCCTTGTGGCAGGTTAAGCTGGGCTCAGCTGACCAATGGGGATTACTCAGCCTTTCCTCACCTTTGGTCAGTTGGTTTTGATAGGTGAGGACTTGGACTGGTGAGCTGAACTGACCCACCATGGGACTGCTTCATAACCCCACCTGGTGCCAGGGAATGCAGGAATCCAGTGTCTGGCTGGAGGAGCAGGAGAGCAGGATTGCCCCAGTGTGCTAATAACAAAATTGGGAAAGGTGCCCCTCTTTCCTCACAGCAGGGCCCTCCTGATGAGAAGGACTGACTGTAGTTTGGTTGTGACAGCCAGCACTTGAGAAGGGGTGCTCATGTTAGTGAAGATCTGCTGGTGAATATTTGCATCGCTCATGTTACAGGTTTGCAGTGTATTCTTGCTCTGCCTGAATGTGTCTGACCTGCAGAGGACAGAGGATCATCTTTCTACTTTCCTTCCAATTGTTTCTGCTAATTTAGCATCAGTTTGAAGTTTTGTCTTTGCTTAGAGATCAAATTGCCAGGGACAAGGCTCTTTGTTTTCACTTTGTGGTAAAAGTGGCAAGGTCAGTCCCAGCGGGGCTTGTACGGTTTACACTGCTAAATTTATCTCATGTATTAAGGGTTTTCTATCACCTACAGCTAATGCATATTGGTAACTCTAGCATCAAAAATACCTTTTCAGCAATGAAAACAAGGTCTCTGTTTGTAAATGCGTTTTCACCACAGTGGATAAGAATATCTTAGCAGCCATGTAGAACAGCCTTCCCAGCTCTCTTTTTTAATATCTCAAAGAGCAGCATCTAACTTGACCTGCACACTCAGGTCATTCCACTGGGTACTTTGCAAGACTTCCTGAATGGCACAGGAGTTCCTTCGTACCAGGAAACAGACAACTTTCTGGCAAAACAAACCTTGAACTCAAGCAAGCTTTTCTTCTCTGTCTCTTTCAGAAATAAGTAAGAAGTTGAAGATGACAACCTCATGGAGCGACCGACTCCAGAATGCAGCAGACCTCCCTGCAAACATGGATGGACACGCTCTGAAAAAGTACCGCCGGGAAGCCTATCACCGGTAGGTCATCCGTGAAGCTCCAAAACTAAACATAAACCCCACATTTCTTGGGTTTTTTTTGCTTGTTAGTAGAACAGGAAGGTTGTTCTTACCTTCCTCATAGAAGTGCTGGTAGAAGAGAGCTTAGAAGACAGCACAGTATTGGCCTATAGGAGTTTGCAAACAGCTGAGTTGAGATACGTGTACTGGACTGAATGAGGATGTGCTTCTTATTTCAGTCAAAAGATTAGTCAAAGTCAGATTTTGGATAGAAGCTTTCATAAATACTCAGAGGCAGAGGTTTTATGATAATTATTGCAGTGCACACTTGGACAGTGCAGAGCCTTGGACACTGGAATGCACAAATATGAATAAGGAGGAAATCAAATGGGGTCAGAAATTGTTTGAGAATTACACCTAGTGTGATTAACTGTGTGACCACAGGAGCGTGCAGGAACACTAGGCAAGAGCCCAACCTTTTTGCTGTTAGGTGTACCTAAAACCATCTTTGCTGGAAAACAAGTACAGTAAGTAAAGGAGAGAGAGTTCAAAATAAAAGGAATGTTATGACTCTTAGTTTATAGTTTGGGAATCAAAGTGCAGGCACCAGGTTGTTTTTACAAGATCACATTGGAGGTGTGGTTGAGCCAAAAATTTCTCAAGGTTCCAAGCACAGAGCATAAAAGACAGATGAAGTCTGTATCCTTATCAGATGTCTGGTCTGCTACAGAGTTAAAAACTACAGCATCTAGTAATTGTCAGTATTCTGTTTGTGGGAGGTGTATCTCCAAAGTTTAGCTAGGTTATTTTGAGAAGTCATACAGTGTGATGATCAGAGGATATTCAGCAGAAGGGGAAATGTATGTCTGATGTAGAAACAGAAAAAGAAGTCAAGTTTCTCAACCTCATGCATAAATGCCACGTTGCATTTGTGATTCACATTGGTGGTATTTCTGGGGAAGTGTTTTGGAAGTGTTAGATATCTTTTGATTCTCCAAATGGAATCTAATTTGAGAAAAACGCCTTAGTGCATCATATGATTGGCCAGGTTGTGCAAGTTGCAGTGTCCAAGGCTAAGTAATGGATCCTGTGATGTGTTTCCAAAGCCTTCCAAGTTCCAAGGAATATGTTTGAACAACGTATCTTAAGTGGTGGCATTATTTGAATCTCTCTGTCTGCTGGTTTGTCAGATATGGAAGCATTTAATGAATGTAACTATATATAGCATGTAAGAAGAGAGGGATTTTATGCCATTCCCTGTCAAAAACTCTTCACCTTGTTGCAGTCATTGACAGGTTTACCTTTGTGTCATAAATTCATTTAAAACTTCAGCTGTGTTACTCCTGATTCAGATTGATGGAAATCAAGTCAGAATAATGCTTATATTTTTTTCCAAGTATTTCCTTAACATTTGTTAAGTGCTGACAGTTTGCTAAATGTTGTAGAGGATCCAAAGGAAGCCGTGCTTGTCTTTAAGAGCTCATACATTCAAGCCCTCATTATGTTTACTCTTACTTGTGTATGAAACCCTTACTTTCAGAAATAATTTCCTTATGGAAGATGGGAATTCAGTCATGTAAAGGAGGGCTTCCCACTAGGAGCTGGGATCTGGTAACCCAAAATTAGTCTGTGGTAAAGTTTAGGTACCTGTTTTTAGCAGCTAGAAATGTCTTATGCAAAACATACCAAGAAGAAATGCTGCTAGCATCTCAGATTTTCATGGAAAGCACAACATTGGAAATACATTAAGGGGAGGCACATTTTTGTTTTGGAATTGCTATCCTCTTTCAAAGAGAGAGAGAGAGGGAGGGAATGGTAGAGAATGAGAGAACCTGATGCCAAGACTGTAGTATAAATCTGTGCTATTAATGGCTTTGGTATACCAGTTTCATGGGAGTTATTTTGATAATCCAGTATTGTGAGAATCTGAAACAACATCATTCCAGAGGCAGTGTTGTCAGATTTCTATTTCTGGTACTTTTCATGGTCGTAGTGTTAACAGATGTGATGTTACTTAAAAAAGTGCAAACTTAACATGATAGAGTATGACTGAAGTTATTTCCCCTTGGTGTTTGATATTATATCTTTTAGTGTTTTATTAATGTTTCAGATGCAGAATATGTGTGCTGGTCACAGCCATGAGTTGTAGGATGTAAATGTATTTCACTAAGGTCCAGGTATGCTCTGACTCTTGGATATTGCTGAAGCACTGAAAATTTTATGAAAAAGAGAAATAGAAAATACAAGGTGTCATTGTCAAGACTATTTTCTTTTTATTCTTTTTCTTCTCTTTTTCTTTTAGTCTTTTTTTTTCTGTCTCTTTTTTTATTACTCCAGCAGCTAAAGGAAAAATCCTTGAAAACATTAATCTAAAGTGACTTAGAAGCAAAACCAATAAGAACATTGAATTTAACCTACTACATTTTTGTTACCTTAAAGCTGGTCAAAGTTATTTTATGGGACTAATCTGAAAGGCTGGAGGAGCTTGGCAGCTACACCACATTTATAGATGAGCATAAGTGGGGCTAACTTTTGTTAGCTATGTTGAAAGCCTAGTTGAGCTCAAAGTCATTCAGCAGATTTTCTAAATTATGCTAGGAGTGCTTAGTTTTCTGAACAGCGAAATTTAAAAAAACTTGTTTTGCTGTTTGTTTACTTCATGCTTACTTAAATACCAGTGGAGATACCTAGACCAATCAATTTAGCATTCTTGTTCTCATGAAGTACACCAGATTTGATACGCTTGAATTGTAAATGAATTCAGATTAAATAATGGGAAAAGCTTCCAAAAGCAAAATAGTTTACTTTGAAAAAAATATATAAATGTTCTTGTGGCCATGAAACTTTAAAAAACTTCTAAAAAATTACCTCTGAAGATGCCACTCTAATAGTCGTAGTTTACAGTGGTCATTCTTACTGGGAATGTGTTTTTTCAGGTGCTGCACTTCTAATTGTATCATAATTAATGGATGGGTGTTCAACATATAATAATTATTGGCAGAAGTCCCAGCTGAGACTGGTTTAACTGGTGTTGTGCATACTGACTCAGAGTATGATGATTGTATTGTAATCGTATCTGAATGCCATGGGCAAGAATGTTCAGAATCAAATTTTTATAGCTATAGAATTAGAAAAATCTGTTAGGGAGGAGAAGTGGTGGGGTTTTATCTTCAGGGAATTTCTGACAACTTTTATGAAAGCTTTAGCTTAGCTGGTGTTGCTGTCAGACCTTGTTACACAACACTGCTGGCGGCTGTTGGAGGTGAGGTCTGAAGATGAATTAATATGCAAGCTACATGTTGCTCATTCTCTAGCAGAGGTCACTGGTAAGAGGATACTGCATTACTGTGCTATTGGCAACACAGATTTTAATTCGGAAATAAAATGGATGTGTAGTTCTTGGGAGGCTTTTCCTTGGCATGTGTGGTTGTGAGGCCACCTCCCTCCTGTGCTGCTTGTTGTCTTTTCCGGGTCGAGGATAATCACTAGATCATTTGTTCTGGAGGAGAACTGTCATTTAATGTGATTGTAATTAGGTAAGAACTAGGTTGACTCTGAGCCACCGAATTGCCCTAGTGTCTATTTTTTAACCTGGAGTGAGCACTTCTAGGCACCCTCTGGATTATCTCACATAGCTCTTTAGGGTTTAAATAGCAACCTCATCAAGTTAAAGCAAATAATGGAAAAAGTTGGTGTTCCATCCACTCTTGTTACTGACAGTTACCAAGATCCAGGAAACAGGTATTTGTACTTATATTTATTTATCTGTGGTTTTGGCTTAGCAGAGCAGTAAGGCTGAAATGGCCTTTTTGTTAAACATGCTGGCTTTGGGATGCTTCTACCTTTTTGCATCAGAATAATTTGAGACTTCTCTTCCTGAATGTGGGGTTTCTGTTGTTTTAATTGCTGGGGGTTTTTCTTTCTCTTTTGTTTGCTGGCTAGTGCAGGGTATGTGGCATCGTGATTCCTAATCCTAATTCTCCTGCTACCTGCTGATAGAGTATTAAATAAGTTGCTTCATAGTTCTCTACTTCAGTTTGCTTTCAGAGCACCTTATGGTGGTGATATAAATTATTTTAGTTGTTACTGTACACTGAGATTCTGGATTAAGAAATAGCATATACTTTAATAATGACAAAGCAAAAGGATTGCCAATTGGTTGTTTTGATTTAATGGATTAAAGATGTACTTTAGCTTGTTCAAATTTGTAGACTCTGGGCTATTCACTGCTAATCTTGTTTCTTCACTTAACTGTTACTGGATCACCAGTGATTGCAAACAGGTGGAAATGTATAAACAAGGCTGTGAGACTTGAAACTCTTCATCTGTTTAGGTGGTTCTATTTAAGTTGCTTCAAAATTACCAGTTCATTGAGGTGGAAAATCAGTCCAAATTTTTATCAGTCTGCAAGTGCTCTTTTCATGAAACACATTTGGACAGGCCATGTGTGGTGTTTCCATGTACTGGGTAGCTCTGGAGGCTCTGCTGGCCGTGGTCTGTCCTCGTGTGTCTGAGAAGCTTCCTCGGATCGTGTGCCTCTCTCTGTTTTGGTTTAGACACTGGAGAAGGGAGAGGGAGTGTCAAGTCTGCAGAACGGGTGAGCTTATAAAAAAGCACACCACTTGCCAAATGAATAATAAAGAAATTACATTGTAAATGTCCCATGATCCTTAGCTTTAATAGTTTCAGGGAGCAGACAAGTGTTATTTTGGGATGGAATCCATATGTGAGCTTCTTGGCACTTTGCTGTTGCCTGGGAAGAAAACCCAAACAATGAAAACAGAAATGGCCAAGGCTATCTCTTTGCATCTGATTCCTGCGGAATTTCAGAGGGAAGTGCTCATAGTTGTGTTTCTGGATACAGCCTCAACATGCTTTGAAGTTCCAGTCATTACTGGATATTCTAGTTTTATGTCACTATAACTGTGCAAGGACAGTTAGACTTGTAAAATTGTGGGGCATGATGGTGGAAACGTTACTAGAAGTGGCCAGGAAATTTTTGTTGTACTTCTTTTGTTTCC